ACTGCCAGCCCACAGCTAACCATCCAGGTACATTATCAGCTGAATGCATTTAGTAGCCTCATCAACTACTGTTTCCACTTCCTGTTTATTCTTTGACACTCCATAATAGGAACCCATTTATGTAAAGTTTGCCTCTCTAGGCATCAGTCTCCTAATCTAAAAAATGAAGATAATAACAGTCTTGGCTTCATAGGTCTGTTGTGAGGGTTAAATGAAATTACTCATATAAAGCACTTAAAGTGGGCTCTGGCTCAGAATAAGCGTAGACAAGCATTTGCTATTATTACATGGACTTATAAATCCTTATCCACAATTCCAAACTCCAAAGGATTATGAAACTCATACATTTTTTTTCATAAGTCATTGGGCAGCCAAACATGACCTGAATTAACATTGAGTCTGCTTTTATAGTTTGTTTTTCCTTCTTGGTATGAATATACATACGTATGATTTCCCCTGCAGAAATATTAATGTGTTTGTTTATAGGTATCTGCCTCATATCCCACTGTAGATACTGTGTAATAGATGGTATACACAGTTACTATTAGGTCGAACCATATTAAATTACCATTTTTATGGGTCAAAATATGGTATCAGAAAGAGTATTCCTTAACATATTGATGAGGTGAGATTTGGGGAGAGGGAATGGGCATTGAAAGCTGTTGCATTCTCCAGCAAGCCTATATTCTTCCCTGAAGAGTTGTGAAGCCCCGTGTCAACTCATTGAGGCCCAAGGGATTAGGGCTGGGTGCCAGCTTGACCGATGCCAAGGCCCTGGCCCCCCTTGGCCCCCACCATCTGCCAAAGCCAGATGAGGAGCAAGAGAAGGAGAAAGACCAACCGCAAGGACTGGTGCCTGGAGGAGCTGTGGTGGTCTTGTCTGGCCCCCACCGAGGCATCTATGGGAAGGTAAGAAACCAAGATCTTCCTGGAGCTCAAGATTGGACAGCAAAGAGTATTGATATGGACGTGATGAGGGAGACACGAGGACCAGGCCTGATCCCGACCCTGAGGGATCACAGTCTGGTGGGGGGAGACACAGAGAGTAGGCCCAGTCTCACCTCTCAGGGTTCACAGTCTGGTAAGGGAGACACAGGGACCAGGCCTGGTTGTAGTCCTCAGGATAGTCATAGCCTTGTGCGGTTACAGGAGAATCAGGCCAGACCTACTAGAGGTAAAAGGGCAGTAGCTTGGTCTTAGAAATGTGGGTGGAGTTTACTCCACCATGCCTAACTTCCTCAAAACATTTTATTTAGGTGGAAGGTCTTGATCCTGACAACGTTCGGGCCATGGTTCGTCTGGCAGTGGGGAACCGTGTGGTGACTGTTAGTGAGTACTACCTTCGGCCTGTGTCCCAGCAGGAGTTTGACAGGAATCCCTCAGAGCTCGGTGAGTGAGCCTCTTACGTAGCTGGAGAAGTTGGAAACATTTCAGGGGATGGTAGGGTCTCTCTTATGGGATGGGTTGTAAATCTGCAGAGGGTCAGTGTTCTGCCTGGCAGTATGACTTCTGATCAAAGCTTAGGAGGTGAGAATGAACATAAGTGGTTTATTGAGTTTGAAGGAAGATTGATCTAGTATTCCTGGACTCTTTAGCCTCATTCTGAAGAGGAAAAACATAAGGAAATCCATTCCTACCTTCAATAGGTCTTTGGGTCTTTGTCTATTTGGGGTGATAAGCCTTTCTTTTGCTAAGGAGTGAGAGGCCCTAGGATTATGTTATAAAGAAGAAGGAGAAAGGTATTTTAGGAAGGTGGAATAGCCCAGGGCAAGGTGTATTGTAGGCAGATGAGAGATAGGTGCAGACAGAGCTGTTTAGGACCTCACTATGCAGATGACCCAGGTAAGCACTGTCAGTCTGGGCTGGGGTGGTTGTGAAAGGCTTCCTGAAGGAGGCAGAAAAGAATGAGAGGAAGGAGAGAGGCATTCTAGTAGACATGGCAAAGGTATGGTGAGAAAAGGGACGCTTTGGCAGATGGGAGATGACCCTAGAGTGAGTTGTGGTTTTGGAAGAAAAGGGTAGGGAGACACTAAGGCTCTTTCCTCTTTTTCCTTATACCCCTTGAACAGGCCAGGGGAGCAAAACTTCCTCAGAGCAACAGAACGGAACGGCCTCATCATGGAAGGCGCTCCAGGATCAGGACCTCCATGTTCACCAGGAGAACTCGGAGAGGAAGAGGAAGCACCCTCCAGACCGGTGGGGCCATGGGCATCTGGGATGGAGGAAAGGACAGGGGTGTAGATAGGCTTAAGCAGTCTAGGAATGCTCCCAGGGCAAGACAGCACGTGGAAGGAACTAGGAATGGCATTGTGGTTGGGTTTTATAGCACAAGCAAGGGCAGGGCAACTGGAATATATGTCTGATGAAGAGCTAAGCCTGGTGTTGATCTCTCCACAGACAGGATGGACCCACAGCCAAGAGTGAGAAAGCAGCCCCCAGGAGTCAGCACTGGTTGCGCAGAGACTTGCGTGTACGGTTTGTGGACAAGCTGCACAAAGGTGGCCAGTATTACAACACCAAGGTGGGAACCCCACAGCCTGGATTCCCTTCCTCTCCCAGAACTGGGCCTCCTTAACTATCTGACATTCTCACATACCCCTGACCTCTCTCCCCAGATGACAGTTGAAGATGTCCTGAGCTCAGATATTTGTGTGTGTCGGACAGAGGAAGGCCAGATCTTAGAAGGTGAGTCTGAGGGATGGCAGCTGGATAGTTACCATTGTGAAGGTTGTCCTTGAGAAGGGTCTCTTACACCAGGAGCACAGCCCAGGCAAAGCCTGTGGGGTTGGGCATAGTTGAGGGTTTTTGCAAGGGCCAGTGTCCTCTTATAGAACATTAGAAACTTCCCTAGTGATGATTATGTGAGCCTCACTTTTCCCATCTGTAAAATTAGCAAGGAAATGATATCTTGTAGGAGTGTCCATTGAGCTCTCAGTGCAGGGTAAAGTTTACACATGCTTACAATAAATGGTGTCTGCTATCACCACCACCACCACTAACATTATCATCATTGTATGTAAAACGTTCTCTCTATTCCAGTTATTTCTATACACTGCTCCTTAGGTTTCCTCACCTGTGACGTGTATGGTGGGATTCCATCTGTCAACAGGGTGTGGGGTGGCTCCAGGGAATACAGCAAAGGCCATCTGACAGGACCCTGGTTGGGCTGGCCCTTGCTGCAGGCATCACTCCCCTTTCCCTCATCTGCAGGCGTGAGGGAAGACATGCTGGAGACCCTGATTCCCAAGGTAGAGGGTAGCCGTGTGATGGTGGTGCTGGGACCACAGGCTGGAAGGGTGAGTCCTAGACCTGGGAACGGAGTGTTGGTAGTCATGCAGGGCCTATCCTGGGATCTGGGTTAGTTTTGCTGACTCCACCCAACTCCTCCTCCAGGTAGGACGTCTACTGGGCCGGGACACAGAGCGGAGCCGAGCTTTGGTGCAGCTGCGGAGAGAGAATCAGTTGCTGGAGCTTCACTATGATGCTGTCTGCCAGTACACGGGCCCCAGCAACTCTGATGAAGATTGACTTGTGTGACCCATTGCATTCCCCCAGACTGTTCCCAGTTTTATACAGTATCTAAAACTCGCCTCCAGGAAGATTGGAAAATAATTTTTCCGTCTGGTACAGGAACAATGCCAAAAGATGAATGGACCGGAAGCTACGCTAGAAACAAACTCACTATTCACCAGAATTTAGTACATAATAAAAACCGTTTCAAATCATTGGTAAAATGAAGTAATAAATGGTGTGCTAAGCTGTTTTTCAGCCCCACCTCCCTGCTTGGGGTACAAGGCACGGTAAGAATTATCTGCTTCTTAGATCATTGGTTTACTCTTGAATTTAGATGCTATGAAACCTGTCCCCTGACCAGATACTATGGAATGTGGAGTGCCACATCTCTAAACAACTTCTGGAGCAAGAAGCCTAGCAGTCCTGTTTTCGCTCTTGATCCAGAGCAGACCCCTAGAGAATATCTTGACCTGGTGATAGGAGGCAAGAGGAAAGGAGGCTTCTACTCGGAAGAGGGCTATGTTAGCTTTAATTTACAAAGGCGGCAACTAATTACTGGGCCCCTGTTTTAGTTCCAGAACTTTGGCTGTAAGGTAAAAATGTGTGTTTGTGGTGGGTAGAATTTCTCTAGTTGTTCTAGTTAACTGTCCTCAAAAAGGGTATTTTATTGTCACAATCCTCAAATTTTTCCTGTTTAATGGCCTGAAACAAAAGCAACAAGGAATTCAGAGCTTTAGCTGTAATTGCTTTTACATCATCCC